CCCTGATCCTCAGATATTCTGCAGCCACTTTGCTTCACAATACAAGCCAAGGGAAGCCTTAGAGAGCAGGACTGAAATAGCAAATCAATCACAAGGGACTCCTCCATGACACAGGGTTGTGGCTCCCACTCTATTCCTCTCCTAGCATATACCAGAAGTGCAAGTAATTCAGTGTATGCTTGAGGCTGCTCTACCTCAGGGTGGCAGAAAACTGGTCCAATGTAAAGCCAGCCCTGTAAAGACAGTCCAGGGGTGGATTTGCACCCCGCACTCTCACACTGCTGCAACCAAGGACCAAAGGCTATGACTTTTGTCCTCCTTATGAAAGAAAGAGCTCTATAGAGTGAGCCTGCCTTTGTCAGGGATGACCAAATTGTATCAAACTAAGCAAACCCTTTCCTAGCAAGAATAAGTCTGACTTGTACCAGCCCAGAAACTTGGGACAAACTTAAAAGGAAACATATTCCAGTTAGTTTTCTCAGGTTGAGGTTTTCCAAGGTGTCCAGGGTTGGCTAAGCTCAGATGCTATGCTATAGTGTCAAGGGCCTGCAGCAAGGCAGTAGCCTTAGACTTTAAGATGGCCAACTTCAATGAGCTGAGGAGATTAGTGGGAGAGGCACTAGGGTGCCCAAGATGAGTGGTCATTCCTTAAGGAGACGATACTCAGAGCCCAAGGGCTGACAATCCCAACAAGAAGCAAAGGGGGCAAGAGTGCCCAAAAGCCCCCCTGGCTCACCAAGGGCATTCGTGAATGGCTGATTGCCAAAAAGGAAATGTACACCCAGTGAAAGGGAGAGGCTATCACCAAAGAGGAGTGTATCTCCACTGCTCGGGTCTGTAGGGGGGCTGTTAGGAAAGCTAAGGCAGATACGGAGCTAGGGCTAGCATCAAGGATAACAAAAAGTCCTTTTTTAAATACATAGGGAGAATGAAGAAGGCCCCGGGTAATGTGGGGCCCCTGCAGGATATGCTTGGCAATCTGGTGGTTGCACCAGGGAAAGTAGACCTCTTGAACAATTTCTTCGCCTCTGTTTTCTTGTGCAGGGACCGGGACTCCCCTACCGAGATTCAGGATGGACTTGGGAGAAACTCTGCCAAGCCTAGGGTTACGGAGGACCGGATTAGAGAACTTCTGGAGGGGCCGAACATGTGCAAATCAGCAGGTTCAGATGCTCTCCACCCCAGGGTGTTGAGGGAATTGGCAGGGGTTATCGCAGGGCCCCTGGCACAGCTTTACGAGCACTTGTGGTTCTCTAGCCAGGTGCCGGACGACTGGAAGATGGCCAGTGTGGTCCCCATCTTTAAAAAAGGGAAGAGGGAGGACCCATGCAACTATAGGCCCGTTAGTCTTACTTCAATCCTGGGGAAGCTCTTTGAGAAGATTATCAAGGAGCACATCTGTGAGGGGCCAGCAGTGGGGATGATGCTCAAGGGCAACCAGCAAGGTTTCATTAGGGGCAGGTTCTGTCAGACCAACCTGACTGCCTTCTACGATCAGGTCACAAAAATCACTGGACGCAGGTGTCGCAGTGGATGTAGTCTTTCTGGACTTCAAGAAGGCCTTTGACACTGTCTCCCACCCCACTCTCATTAAAAAGCTACGTGACTGTGGCATTGATGCCTACACAGATAGATGAATTGCAAATTGGCTGAGGGGTCATACTCAGAGTGTGGTGATGGACGGGTCATTTTCGACCTGGAGGGAAGTGGGCAGTGGGGTCCCCCAGGGCTTGGTCCTCAGGCCTGCACTGTTCAGTTTCTTTATTAGTGACTTGGACGACGGGATGAAGAGCAGCCTGTTTAAATTTGCAGACGACACCAAGATTTGGGGTGAGGTGGGCACGCTAGAAGGGAAGGACAGATTACAGCAGGACCTGGACAGGTTACAGGGGTGGGCAAATGAAAATAGGATGGGATTCAATACTGACAAGTGCAGGGTGCTGCACTTGGGCAGTAGGAACCAGCAGACCATACCTCGTCCTGCATCCACAGATGCATCACAAGCAGGGCCAAGGAGGTGATCCTCCCCCTCTATGCAACACTGGTCAGGCTGCAGTTGGAGTACTGCGTCCAGTTCTGAGCGCTGCACTTCAGGAGGGACGTGGACAGTATTGAGAGGGTCCAAAGGAGGGCCACTCACATGATCCGGGGACAGCAGGGCAGACCCTACAAGGAGAGGCTACGGGACCTTAACCTGTTCAGCCTTCTCAAGAGAAAGCTGAGTGGGGATCTGGTGGCTGCCTATAAACTTACTACGGGGGACCAGCGGGGTTTGTGAGAGACCTTGTTCCCCCGAGCGCCTCCCGGAGTACCAAGGAATAATGGCCATAAGTTGCTAGAGAGTAGGTTTAGACTAGACATTAGAAGGCACTACTTCACAGTCAGGGCAGCTAGGATCCAAGGGAAGTGGTGATGGCTCCTACCCTGGGGGGTCTTTAAGAGGAGGCTCGACGTTTACCTGGCTGGGGTCATTTGAGCCCAGTTTTCTCTCCTGCCCAGGGCAGGGGGTCCAAGTAGAAGATCTACAAGGTCCCTTCTGACCCGACATCTATGAATCTATTTCATTGCTATGTGATGCTGAAAGATCCCCCCATTCCATTTTCTGTAGTGGGAGAGGTCTTGGCACTTTCCATTTGAGTAGGCACCATCATCCTTTCGTTTAGGTTCGTTATTAGTTTATGTCTGAGCATCAAATATATCTTACTCTTTAGGAATTCAACTTAGGTATTGATTTACCTGCAGTGTTTCTGGGCCCTGATTTTCATTAGGTATCAAGTTCACTGTTAAGTAGGCTGTAAATAATTGTAACCATGACCCACTGGGGATTACTGAAAGGGAAATTTCTCATTGGTCTATTTTGTATCCAACTATTATAATTGTGTTTTAGGGTGGAGTTTGAACTGATTTCACTCTAAATTTAAGAGAGAAATTTTGAACACTTTTAGGCTGTTCAGTGAACTGACATTGATTTCTTTGCATTTTAACCAGAGAGTGGCCTTATGTTGCTTCTATATTGCTAAAGTGTGGAAAGAACAGTGGGACAGGGTTTTATAATTTATCCAATATTAATGATAAATCCCTGTTCTTCTGTTTTACTGTATTTTACCCTCACTCATATTTTTGCATCAATAGCTGCAAGATAGCTATAATGAATAATTCAGCTTTTAAAACA